CCCGGACTTTATTTTTGCAGACCAATAATAATAGAGTCAAATCTTCCTTTGATTAGGGATTCAAATAAAAGGTGACTTGGAACACCAACAAAAAATCAATTTCAAGTGGCGACTCTGTAAATAAAATAATCCCTACTCAATTTTGTCACTTTAATTGGAAAAACTCTTTAATCCACACAATATTATTTTGCGGGTAGAAAAAGGGGTGTGACACATTGTACCCGCACATTAAATCACGTAGCAAATAGACAAATAAGTCCTACTCCCTCAAGTCAAGGTTAACCACGAAACTTACCTCGCTTCGCAACCAAATTGAAGATTCTAATAGACCTTTGTCTCGCGAATTCGTGTCTGAAAGATTCAAATCTAATCACAAACAATTCACTATACTCAACACAAATCGTAGGAATTAATTCCATATGAAATTATTAATTTTCCGAATTAAAATCTGAAAATCATCTAAAAAGTTCACATTGGGGCCCACGTCTTGAATCTTGAAAAACAAACTCACAAAATCCGAACACCCGTTCCGAGACAAGTCCAACCATATAAAAATTATCAAATTCCGATATCAAATGGACCTTCGAATCTTAAATTTCGTTTTTGAAAAGTTTTACCAAAATTCTAATTTTCTTCCATCTAAATTCGAAATAAATGATGAATATAAGCATGGATTTTTGAAATATAATCACTTTCGGGTATAGAACACTTACCCAAGTCGAAGTCCCCTTTGGAATCGCCCAAATCTGAGACTCAAAACTACAAAAATGAGTAAAAATGGCTAACATCCAATTTTTATGTGTTCTGTCCAGCATTTTTGCATCTGCGGATAAATCTCCGCATATGCCGACTCGTATTTGCGAAACATGGCAGCCAAGCAGAGGACCGCACCTGCGGTCCTTCATGTCGCAGAAGCGCGAAGGAAGCCGCAGAAGCGAGAAAGATCGCAAAAGCGGGTATCGCGTTGTAATGACTCGGCCGGTCGTTTTGAGAGTAATAGCCCCGATCCCTTATTTACTATTTCCCCCTTACCTTTTTCTGCTTAGGTGACTTTCCGGGAGGTTTTGTTTTTGTGTTCGGAGTGTTTTGGGACACTTAGTCCCTAAATGGAATTTTGTCAGTTTAGTTAGCTACGTTAGGTGATTTTGGATTTAGGGGCGTGTCCGGATTGTATTTTGGAGGTCCGTAGCTCATTTAGGCTTGAAATGGCGAAAGTCGAATTTTTGGAGTTTCGGGCCGGTAGAGAAATTTTTTATATCGGGGTCGGATTCTGATTTTCGAAGTTGGAGTAGGTCCGTAATATTGAATATGACTTGTGTGCAAAATTTGGGGTCAATCGGATGTGGTTTAGTTGGTTTCGGCATCGGTTGTCGAATTTAAAAGTTTCAAGTTCTTTAAGTTTGAATCGGAGGATGATTTGTGATTTTAGCGTTATTTGATGTGGTTTGAGGATTCGACTAAGCTCGTATGGTATTTTAGGACTTGTTTGTATGTTTGGTTGAGGTCCCGGGGACCTCGGGTGTGTTTCAGATGCTTAACGGATGAATTTTGGACTTAGGAAAGTTGTTGAGTTTTTTTTTTGTTGTTGGTTCTGGTGTTTCGAACCTGCGGAGGGGAGACCTATGTGCGGGCTCGCACGTACGGAAGACCAGGCGCAAATGCGGAATTTGGAGGCTTGACCAGGGGTCACAGGTGCGAGGAATTTCCGCATCTGCGATGCCCGCAAATGCGCCCAAGGACTCGCACGCGCGGAAGAAGACCGCAGAAGCGGACAGTGTTCCGCAGGCGCACACGCGCAGGTGCGGCCCCTTGTCGCATATGCGGACCCAGCCCTCTTAAGTGATTTCCGCACCTGCGAGGGATTGTCCGCAAGTGCGGCGTCGCAAGTGCGGCGTCGCAAGTGCGACTCATGGCCCGCAGGTGTGAAGATCGCTGGGCAGAAAAGGGGAAGAATCGAGGGTTTAGGTTCATATTCACAAATTTGATTTTTGAGCTCGGGAGAAGGCGATTTCTTGAGGGATTTCAGAGAAAGTTTTGGGGTAACGATTCCTAGCTTGTTTTTGGTTGTATTTCATTAATCTATAGTCGTTTTCTCCATTTAATTTCGAATTTGGATTGAAAAGTGGGGAAAATGAGGGAAACGTTCCCCAATCGAATTTCTGAGTTTTGAATAGGTTTTAGACATCGGATTTAGATGATTTTTATACGAGTGATCTCGTGAGCGAATGGGTGTTCGTAATTGGTAACTTTTACCCGATTTCGAGACGTGGGCCTGGGTCGACTTTTTAGGGCGGATTTCAGAATTTTTATTAAAATCTTGATTTTATTAATTAAATTAGTCTATTATAGTTGTATTTATGATATGTAATTGTTTTGGCTAGATTTGGGCCATTCGGAGTCAGATTTTCGTGGAAAAGGCATTTTGACCGATTGATTGAGCTTGGTTCGAGGTAAGTGGCTTGCCTAACTTTGTGTGAGGGAAATCCTCTTAAGATTTAGAACTATTGTGATATGTGAGCGCCATGTACGTGAGGTAACGAGTGCGTACACGGGCTAGTTGTAAAAAAACCCGATTTTTCTTATTGAGCAACAACCTCTTTTCCTTTTTTGTTTTTGAGTTATACCATGTTAATGAGTATTAATCTATTTTCATTCTTAATTGAGTTATTGCAATATTTGTACCTATCCTGTTTAGTCTAATACATCATGTCTACGTATCTTATCTGCTTATGTGAACTCTGTGCAGCATGCTTAGTGAGTTTACTGCTTCTTCCTTGACTGGTACTTAGTCTAAATCGTAAGATTTCGTGATGTAGTTGTATTTCTATTGTATGCATTGCATATTTACTTTGGGACTACGGAACGGTATTCCGGGAGATCCCCATGTACTGCATATTTACTTTGGAATTACGGAACGGTATTCCGGGAGATCCCCCTGTCTTGCATATTTACTTTGGGACTACGGAACGGTATTCCGGGAGATCCCCTGCACATTTACGTTTGGGACTATGAGACGGTATTTCGGGAGATCCCCTGTTGTATTTCTGTGTATTGAGCTATTACCTTCTATGAATTCTTTCTTGTTAAATTTCAGTCTTTATTTTACTGCGATATTTTATTTTTGCCTTGCTTCATTATCATATTCCAGTAGGGCCCGGACCTGACCTCGTCACTACTCTACCGAGGTTAGGCTTTGCATTTACTGGGTACCGATTATGGTGTACTCATGCTACTCTTCTGCACATGTTTTGTGTGCAGATCTAGGTACTTCTTATCAGCCCCGCTACTAGCTGAGAGTGCTTGCTGTTGTACGGAGACTTCAAGGTATATATGTCGTATCCGCAGACCTCGGAGTCCCCGTCTATTCCCTCATATGTCATATACCCTCCTTACTTCTGTTATTAGACTCTGGTGTATAGAGATACTAATTTTCTTCTGTAGCTTGTGACTTATGATGTTCCGGGTTTTGGGATTACTGTGTATTTTGAACAGTTAGTTGTTTAATTCATGTTTTTATTTTATTATTCCGCAAATGTTAAGCTTACCTAGTCATAGAGACTAGGTGCCGCCACGACATCATACAGAGGAGAAATTGGGTCGTGACACGCGCCCGCGTCCCAAGAAGCGAAGCTTCTCCCCTGGCCTCAAAGCCGCAGAAGCGACACTGCCTCCGCAGAAGCGATCACGCACATGCGGCCAAAATTGCGCAGGTGCGAAACACCAAAACAAAACCTGTAAATGTTTACAAAAATGATCTGAAACACGTTTGAAACTCACCCGAGCCCCTCGGGACCTCGTCCAAATATTTCAACCAGTCCCGTAACATAATACGGACTTACTCGGGGTCTCAAATTATATCAAATAGCATTAAAATTATAATTCACATCTCGATTCGGACTTAGGAGTTTTAAACTTTTCAATTTACAAAACTCGTGCCGAAACGTATTAAACGAATCCGGAATGACTTCAAATTTGGCGCACGAGTCATAAATGACATAAAGGAACTATTCCAATTTTTAGAATCGGGTTCCGACCCTGATGTCAATAAAGTCAAATCCGCGGTTAAACTTTGGAAATCTTTAGCCTTTCAAACTTCCTATTTTTAATAAATGGCGATAACTCAAGCCAGGGACCTCCAATTTAAATTTCGGGCATACGCCCAAGTCCCAAATTACGATACGGACCTACCGGAACTGTCAAAGTACTAATCCGGGTCCGTTTGCTCAAAACGTTGACCGAAGTCAACTCAGTTGAGTTTTAAAGCTCTATTTCACATTTTAATCCATTTTTCACATAAAAACTTTCCGGAAAATTATACGAATTGCGCATGCAAGTCGAGTAATGATAAATAATGCTTTTCGAGATCTTAGAACACAGAAATGAATGTTTAAATTAAAGATGACATTTTGGATCTATCACACCTTTATACAACCCTACTAAAAATCTCTGAATCAATTTAGTAAGGTGTCGGACATAACTTCAACCAAATTTAAAAAATTAGTTTAGTATTATTTACAATTTCATACTTGTATTATAATTTTGTACATTATTTTAACTTTAATGTTTAGGAAATTAATGTTAACAAACTTGTTTAAGAGTACTTGGGTTTTACACACTAACTCAATAGTTACATGATACATGTGTTAGGCATATGGTGTTATCAATACATCATAATTAATTAATAACAACCTCATCTTAATTTATTACTTAATCATGATAAATTAATATAATTTGTTGTAAAATCGAGTGCAATATATTTTTTTACCTTTATGAATTTTATTTAAATTATTTAAATATTTTTTCCAAGCATAATTTATATCCAAACACAACAACAAAAACGAATGTTTTTTTTCAATTTTGAAATTCGAAAACTCAAATTCTTTATTTTTTTTATACTTTAACCAAACATGTTCAGTGGTGCTCGTGCTATGACTATTATAATGTCACAGTCCTTTCAATTATTGCAGTCAACCCACTAGTCAAGACTCAGACCACTTTATCTTAAAAGTTCAGAACACACACAGACACACACTAGGAAAACATAACTAAAATGGAAACTTCAATTCCAAAGAATTTCAGAAACATAGTTCTAATATTTTTGTTCCTTATTTGTTGGAGTAAAGTTTTTGCAAGAACTCAAGAAGATGACAAAGTAACAGAACTGCCTGGGCAACCAACTAGTCCACAAGTCTCACAATTTTCTGGTTATATTACAGTCAATAAAACTAATGGAAGGGCTCTTTTTTACTGGTTTTTTCCCTCTCAGTCTGAATCTTCCAAGAAACCCCTTCTACTTTGGCTTAATGGTGGTAAATTCCCATATCTTTTCATAAAAAGTGAACCCCATTTTCTCCTTTTCTTGTTTCATATGAAAGTTTGGATTTTAATTCTGTTCTTTTTGTCCTTTTTCTAAGTTGTTGTACTTGGATTTTGTGGCTCTCTGACCATAATTCTTGTTTCTTACTTATGCGTAACTGGTAAAGTTGCTCCATGTGATCAGGAGATCAGAATTCGAGCCCCGGAAATAGGTTCTTGCAGAAATGCAGATTAAAACTGAATATTGTCCTGTACTTCCCCAGACCCCGCGCATAGCGGAAGCTTAGTGCACCGAGCTGTCCTTCTTTTTTACTAGTTATGCAGGGATTATAATGCAAGAGTATTTTATGCATGTGAAAATACTACAGGGATTATTATAAAATGAATAATGATGCAGGAATTGTTATGTGAGAATTGATTACTCTAGAGGAGTTTTTTGTCTTAAGTTGTCAATAGAATAGAAGGAGAGCCTTGGAGCAACGGTAAAGTTGTCTCCGTATGACCTATAGGTCACGGGCTCGAGCCGTGGAAACAACCACTAATGCTTGCATTTGGGTAGGCTGCCTACATCACACCCCTTAGGGTGCGGCCCTTCCCCGGACCCTGCGTGAACGCGAGATGCCTTGTGCACCGGGCTGCCCTTAGTTACTATTGTCAACTTATTGCTAATGCATTTTATTCCGTATAATACATAGGTTCCTGCATAACTTGTGCGAGTATTAGCAATGCCGAGTTTAATAAAGCCTACGGAATGCTGTATTAAGTTATGCAACGATTACTTTTTCTAGTACAACCAACAAAACGCGGTATTACTTATACGGAATTTTATGTTGGGATTATTTTTTTTACTGCAGTAAACCAGAGGATTCCTTTAGTTTCTTAGTATTCACTTGTGTGCTTTCTCTATTAGGCCCTGGTTGCTCTTCAGTTGGATATGGTGCTGCTGTGGAGTTAGGACCTTTGCTAGTTAAAAACAATGGGGATGGTCTTGACTTCAACATTTATTCTTGGAATAAAGGTCATATCTTTTGTTTCATTTATACTCTACTTTGACCTTATATTGTTTATCAGTTTACGATGAATCCTCACAATTTACAATATATTGACGCTCTATATTATGTTGTTGCGACGAGAATCAAAAGTATAAAAATGATAAGTTAATACAAGTTTTACCTTTGCAAGGCTTAGTACAAGAGTGTGATAGTATTGTTATTGTGGATTCCTCAATTGCAGAAGCCAATTTGCTGTTTTTGGAGTCTCCAGTTGGAGTGGGATTCTCATACACCAATACTTCCTCCGATTTAACCAACTTAGATGACAACTTTTCTGGTAATTACAACCCGAGAAATGCAAATACTATTCCAAGAAGAGAGTGCATATATAGTGTGTATGCTTAACTTAGCAACACAATTTGCTTCATACAGCTGAAGATGCTTACAATTTCCTAGTGAATTGGTTGGAAAGGTTCCCCGAGTTTAAGAACCGCGAATTTTTCATATCAGGAGAGAGCTATGCTGGTGAAATAAACCTTTCCCTGAACTTTCATTTTAATGATTTAAGACTATGTCCTGTGTGCCTAAAATGCTCATTTCTTTTGGAATCATAGGACACTACGTGCCCCAACTGGCAGAGCTCGTATACAACAGAAATAAAGACAGCAAAAAGTATCCTTATATTAATCTCAAAGGCTTCATAGTAAGTTTGCGTTCATCTCCTACTTGTGCCATACTCTATCGTAGTTCTTATCCCATTGGCACATCACTGCAAAATTCACTATTTAATCTAATACAATGACTTGCAGGTTGGTAATCCTGAGACGAATGACTACTATGATTATAAAGGGATATTAGAATATGCTTGGAGTCACGCGGTAATATATGATTCGGAGTATGAGAAAGCCAAACAAGTATGTGATTTCAAGCTCTCCAACTGGTCGGATGCATGTAATGACGCAATGAAAGTAGTTTGGGATAAATATGAAGAAATCGACATCTACAACATTTATGCTCCCAAATGTCTCCGGAATAGCTCCTCTTCTTCTGCTAGTCTTACTGTCAGTGGACATGAATCTTCTAAACTCAAGGTGATTATTCTACCCCGAAGTTTCAGAATGATCTTGGATCACACGAGTGCATTTTAGCCGGTATACATAAAATAATTGATAGTCCTATTAGGGAGCTATTTTGAGCCTTGAACAGGCCATTCCTTATGCCTAAAGACATAATAATATTGCATATTGCAATTGGTGTTCTTGTCTAAACATATCTGTTCACCACATATTCCTTTTTTCTCAAAAGACTGTTACAAGCTTATTTATTTTATAGCTCGAAATCTACATGCAATCATCACGAATCAAATAGAAACTTGGCAAACATGACCTGAAACTATGTTTGATTTTGACGATGTACTTAGTTGCAGGCACTTAATCATGCGTTCAGGAGGATGAAACGAATTCCGGGGGGTTATGACCCCTGTTATACCGCGTTTACTGAAGAGTATTTCAATCGGTTAGATGTTCAAATTGCCCTCCACGCAAACAGTGAAGGGCGTCATACTAGAGTAAAATGGCAAAGTTGCAGGCAAGTTCAAGTTTCAGCTTAATTCTCCTTCACATTCTGGAATCATGTCATGGTTATTTTGGCCCGAACTTCCTGCAACTTTTGTTTATTATTTACTAACTTGGTTTCTGTTACGTACTTTAGTGATCCCGTGTTCCAGAAGTACAACTATAATGTGTTCTCTGTCCTGCCAATATACAAAAAGCTTATCCAAGGGGGCCTGAAGATTTGGATTTTTAGGTATTTGAGTTTTTTATCTATGTCTTTATTTTGCTATTAGCTTGTTTTTGTTCTTGTTATAGTTTCACGTATCCTAGTATGAAATCGTCGTAAATATTTTAAGAGGGGTCAATTCCACTCTTTTTTCGTGATTACTCATACCCCTTGGGTACTACTGATATTAGTAAATTTATTTTATTCAATAAATTGGCAACTCTATTAAATCATATGTATGCCAGAAAATTTTCACTTTCTTAAGTTATAAATGATTCCCTCTCTCCACATAACAGTCACTACATAATGGTTTAGCACTACAATTTATTATGTTGGCTGAACAAAGTATACTTTACCTGCCTATTTAAGTTCTCTTTACTGTCCAGAACTGGATCATGCCTTGTGATTCCTTGAACTGCATCCTGATTTGCTATTAGTACTCAATTTCGACAAGCTTACATTCATGTGACCATGCTTTTTCTTTTTATTATCAAAAAGTGGGGATGCAGATGGACGAGTGCCAGTAATTGGGACGCGATACTGCATTGAAGCCCTTAATCTGACTCTGAAGTCCGAATGGCATTCGTGGTTCCACAATCATCAGGTCAGTTCTTGTTGTAATTGTTGACTCATAAAAATTATATAATGATCCAACAGAAAACCATGCTACAACATGATTGGTTTTCCTCTTTCTCCCAGTCTCGAGCCCCCTGCCCCCACCTGAATCAGAACATGCAGTCGGAGTCCATTTACGGATCTAGTTAACATATCCTCCTTCTAAAGATAGTTGTCTCGATAAAATTAATGTTCGTTGAGTCAACAGTATTTCAAATCTTATAAACCATTTAGGACTAAGGCGTGGTTGCTGTGTTGTTTATATACCATTTAAACAATGCAATGTTCGACAAAACATTACAGCACGAGTTGTTGATATGTACACGAAAAGCTAACTAGCTAAGCATCTTTGGTTGCTGGTGTGTAACCTAAAAAATAAGGCAGGTTACAGCATGGTAAATGTGGGACAAAACATTACAGTACGAACGGACAAACATGACTTCTATTTACCCGACTAGAGTTGCTGATATGTATATGAGAAGCTAACTAGTTAAGCATCTTTGGTTACTGGAGTGCAACCTGAAAAATAACGCAGGTTGCATGTTACAACATGCTAAAATTACATTGATAGTGTAAAAGTTTCTGCACTGTCAGTATGTGTGTGTATGGTAACCGCTTGCGAGTGGTAGTGAAATGAGGACAACGAGAGACGTTAATGTATGTAAATATGCAGGTGGCAGGACGGATAGTGGAGTACGAAGGGCTGACATTTGTGACAGTAAGAGGAGCTGGTCATCTAGTACCTCTATACAAGCCAAGTGAAGCTCTAGCCCTCATCCATTCTTTCGTAACCGGTGAAGAACTCCCTGCTCACAGATAAACGTCGATTATATCCCATAATAAGTCTATCAGATAAAAATCTCGTTGATGATTCATTACCAATCTGTCATTTTACTGCACGAAGTTACCTAATGTTCTCTACCACTTAAGGGCGGAGAGATGTTGACCTTTCTCTGTAGCATTATACTTCTTTCTTGGTTATAACTTATACTGTAACAAGAATCAAGACTTCAGATATCATTGCAAATTGTACCTTTTAAAATTGTATATTAATGAATTTGAAGGTGGTTTTCTTCTTTTCCTTAAGCTGTTCTTTTCCTATTATTTTAACCACTCTTTTCTTGGCTCTGAAATCTGAATAATCAGTGACAGAGAAATATTTTGTTATTTTGAACTATTTGCTTCCTGTTGGGATTTCATTGTGATTAATTTCTTTTCCCCTTTTCTTTTCAAACAATCATTGGATTCCAAAAACACCTTGTAATTTAATAAAAATTTGAAAGGTATCAGTGTCCTAAAATGACTAGATCACTAAAGTAAAACTGATATTATACTAATATACTATTTATTCATAATGCAACAATTTTTAGTTATGTTGCTCGGACTATTTAAAAATGCTATTGTACCATTGCTGGATCCTTTAAATTTGCACTATCTTGGAGGATCCGACACGCACCGGGCAACATTTTAAAAAAGCATGAGCAACATAAATTTTAACTATTAAGACTTGACCGATGTGCATTAGAATACTGTGAAGTCAAGCTTAATTATTATAGATATATAAACACCAATCTTTAAGATTATTTATTTGTTTGTTAGTTTATGTTTCAACCAACTACAACTCTTTTTAGTACTAAAGAAATTTGAAAACAAAAAACACTCAGCAAATCACTTGGGATGTCACTGTCACAACTCACAAATCTTCTGGTGCAAATAAATTATTATGGAGTTATATTTGCATCATTTACTGTAAAATATAACTATTGTTAGTTTGTCCGTCGTTAAAAATCCAATATCGTGACCACCTTAAAAGTTACCTTAGTTTGATTCTAAATTGTTGATTCATTCAAAACGGCTAAAATTATAGCACGCATTCGTCAACTGGCAGAAGTGCTTTTTAGTTCAAACCTACTTAGGCGGACGCACATGAACCTGATTCGTCAAAAAATAATATTATATGTATAAATTACGATTAAAGTTGCATAAATTTTATATAAATATTTTATTTGAACCCACCTGATAACTACTATTTTACGACTAAAGTTATGTACTTTTAAGATTGAACCCGCTTGCACAAAATCTTGGGTCCGCCACTGCATACCTAGACTCGATATTGTCATCCATCCTTTGTCAACATTGATAACTATTATAAGTGTTTGACTTGTAACGATAGCTGATATGTATGAATAAGTTTTTAAAACTAGTATAACAAAATTAAAATAGTATTCCATATGTTTCATTCTATATGATAGTACTATTGAAAGTCTATCCTTCTTTGCTACGCCTTTTCAAACATTTTTTTGGATATTTTTAATTATAAAAGATGGTGACTTATAAAACACATAAATGGATTATTTAGTTTTACAATAGACTTAATATTTTAAAAATGGGTGAAATTGAAAACAATAGTAAAATAAAGAGAAATTTTCATAAAATACTTTGGAGCTAATTACTGTATGTAACTAATGAATACATCCTGTGTTAATTGTATTTGTTCGCGCAATCAGGGACAGCTCAAGCATTTTAGTGGCCTAAAACCAAAATTTATTTGGAGGCCTTAAATTTTAAAAGTAAAACATATTTTTTCCCAATAATAATAATAATATTGTTCTACCTTTTTGAGATATAAAGTTGTGAAAAAAAATTATTATCGATTTCTTCTAATAATTCTTTTTCGAATGACAATATAGTCAATTCATGTAATCTTTTGAAAACGTATTTCTATTGAGGCAATTGTTACATAAACTGTTAATATTATTTTATAAAAAATAAATTTATTTGAAAAAGAATCAAGTCTTTTTATTTGATTGAATGTGTTGATTAGATTATTATTTTCTACTTGTACTATTTTTTAAAAATATTTTTAATTTAAAAAATAAATCTAAACCATCAATATCAGAGTGACGATTATATTTTAAGGAACATTCAAGGTTAACACAATATTTTTTTAAGTTCTTGTCATCTAATGATCTCAAATTTTTACCGCTAAAACTTTTGAGCTGTTGAACTTTTATACTCTTGGAGAAAGAAATTAAGAAAAAAAGATAAAAGAGAAAGTATATAATCTGTGAGAGAAGGGAAAAAAATATTGTGACTTGGAAAAAATAAGAAAGAGAGTGTAAAAATTTATAAGCATTCATACATGCCATAATAATAATTTTGATATTGATGATTTATTCACAAATTTAATAAAATTATCTTTTTCTTTATATGAAAAAATTAACTTTTCTACTAAAAGTGCTCTATTTTTTCAGAAAAAAATATAAATATATTATTGCTAATAAATAGGGCCTCAAAATTCGGGGGCCTAAAGCAAGTGCCTTACTTGCTTTACCATAGAGCCGGCAGTGCGCGCAATATCAATAGAGAATAGAATAGTCTCGTTAAGAGTCGAACTCAAGATCTCCGCTTACTAAGCAGGTGCTCTAACCAACTGAGCTACAAAAACTTATTGCTCTCTTGTTTCAGTTCAAAATAATTGATTCCTTATTTAAGTACTACAAAAAATTTGTTATAAAATTTAAATATAGCTACGGATAGTAATTGTTTTATAAATATAGCTACGAATGATAAATACACGAACAATGTATATGTTTACTATATCGTGTAACTTTTCCTAAAATAAAGGGGGATGGTTGTTTTGTGGGCTTCAGCCCAAAATGGAAACTGAACTATTCAAGCATTTTAAGGCCCATATGGTAATAAATGGGCATATTCTGTTACAAAATCGAGAATTAGCCGTTCCATTTTCACTGATCTTCTCAGAAGTTGATAACCTTCTTTTGCTATTCCAACATCAAAATTTGATAGTTCAGCTTCACAAATCATCCTTATTTTCTTCCATTTCCAAGCTAATTCAATCCCCCAATCTTTATCAAATTGCAAAAAGACCTCAAAAATGTGAAAAAGGGTGAGTCTTTCCTCTATTTCTATAATTTTTTCCTCATATTTATTAACCCCAAAACAAATTTTAAGATGAATTCACCATTTGGGGTTTTCCCAGATGAAGTAATTCTTCAGATTCTTGCTAGATTACCTGTTAAATCACTTTATAAGACAAAAATTGTATGCAAAGTTTGGTACAAATTAATATCTGATAAATACTTTACAAATCTTTATAATGAACTTTCAGTGAAGAATCCTATGGTACTTGTTCAGGTCAGTGAGCCCTCATCTGAATCAAGATCTAGTTTGATTTGTGTTGATAATTTAAAAGGGGTATCTGAATTTTCATTGGATTTTGTTAAAGATAGGGTCAAAGTTAGAGGTTCTTGTAATGGTTTATTATGTTTGTCTAGTATTCCTGATAAGGGTGTTTATTATGTTTGTAATCCATTGACTAGAGAATATAAATTGCTTCCTAGAAGTAGGGAAAGGCCTATTACAAGGTTTCACCCGGATGGTGAAGCCACTCTTGTTGGTTTGGCTTGTGATTTGATAACACAAAAGTACAATGTGATTTTAGCTGGTTATCATAGGTCATTTGGTCATAGGCCCGAGAGGACGTTTATATGCATGGTTTATGATTCGGAGTCGAACAAGTGGAGGAAGTTTGTGTCGTTGCAGGACGATCAATTCACGCGTATGAATAAGAACCAAGTTGTGTTTATTAATGGTGGATTGCATTGGTTGACGGATAGTTGTTCGTGTATGCTTGTTCTTGATTTGGCTACTGATGTTTGGAGGAAAATACAATTGCCTGAGGAAATTAGTTGTGGAGTTAGGAGTCGGGTTTATTTGTTGGAATTGGATGGATGCTTGTCTGTGATTCAGATATACGAGGCTTGGATGGTTATTTGGGTAATGGAAAATTATGAGAGGGAAGAATGGCGAATGGTGGACAAAGTGAGTCTTCGTTGCATTAGAGGGATGGTACCGGGCATTTTCCCAATAAGTCAAACTGGCAACTATGTTTACCTTGCTACACATAAGCAAGTTTTGATATATCAAAGAAACAGCCGTGTATGGAAGGAGATGTACTCTGTAAAGGACAGCTCAACCTTGCCTTTATGGTTCTCCGCTCATGCCTTTAGGAGCACTCTCTTTTCTTGCCATTGATCCGAGGATTTTATACATCTTCCTTTTCAACAGTTGTACATAATGCTATCATTAGTCTAACTCCCATCTCCTCGAGCGGTCATTGTCTTGATATTCTATCACACTATGTATGTTGCATGGAACCTCAAAGGTGGTTATGGCATGGATGTAGCCAGTTATATGTTGACTTATGGGGAGAATGGAAAATGGTGGAAAAAGTGAGTCTTCGATGCATTAGAGGGATGGTACAGGACATTTTCGCTATAAGTCGAATTGGAGACTACTTTCACCTTGCTACGCGTAAGCAGGTTTTGATAGACTTTGTAAAGGATACCTCAATCTTGCCTTTATGGTTCTCTGCACAGTCCTTTAGAAGCAGTCTTTTTTTCCTGCCATTGATCCGACAATCATGTACATTTTCTATTCAACTGTTGTACATATGCTATCATTCTTCTAATTTATCTCTTTGAGTAGTCATTGACTTGATCTTTTTATCATACTGTGTATGATTTGTGGAACCTTTAAGGGTGGTTTTGACATGAATGTAGTGAATTTATATGTTGATATGTTTTCAGTATTGTTTGAAAATGATATAAAGTTGCTGTGAAATTGCAGTCTTTTGTTCCATATGAAGCTTACTATGTTGTGGTCTTGTTGTTGGTTGTTCATAAGCTCCCCCACCCCCCAACCCCCCATATATTTGGCTTACATTCGGTTTTGGTTCTGATATGGCTATGGGATGGGGAAACTATGCCATTTGCTCCCTCATGTGTTCCTATTATTGTTAAAGTGTGAAACGAAACCTCTTGCTTTCTTAGATGCTCTAGTTGTTCTATGACGCTGTTGATTTTTCTTTTTTCATCTTTTTGCCTCCTTTCCTCCCACTATGTGAGATTATACTAGGTATGTTGTTGTTTGCCTCCTTTCCCTCTTTTTATCTTCCTTAACCTTGTTAGGCCGTGGTGTCAGCATGGACATATGCTTCTTGGTTAGATACAATCTTGTTCTTTGACTTATAAGTTCTTATAACTTGTTTTTAGAGGAGCCACATTACATCAAAGCGAAGCCAATGTTGAAAGTGAACTAACAATATTGTTTACTTTGCACAACATATTATTGGTGCTTTCTCGTATCCTTTTATGAAGGGGAGCCTTGGCGTAACTAGTAAAGTTACTGCCATGTGACCAAGAGGTCACGGGTTCGAGCCGTGAAAACAGCATCTTGCAGAAATGCAGGGTAAGACTGCGTATAATAGACCCTTGTGGTCCGGCTCTTCCCCAGACCCTGCGCATAGCTGGAGCTTAGTGCACCAGGCTGCCCTTTTTTTTTTTTCTCATATCATTTTATCTCTATAGGAGGAAATAGTTTGGTTTATATGCTTTTCATTCTAGTGGGGAGGATACACCAAAGTTTTGTTTACAATGACAAAACCACCAAAACATATTCTTTACTGATTAGAGCCAGATTTAGAGCTTCTAACCTGGAAATATGACCAGCTGTGAGATGAACAGATGAAGTTTGAGGTTACTTTGAGTTATTTAGACTCCTCTCATCCTATTTTATCTTTGAAAATCTTCATTTCATTCCCTTGAGGCGAACGATGAGAGTATTTTCTAATGATAGATGCTACTTTTCTTCGGTGCCCACATGTTCTTTGCAACAACAACATACCAAGTGTGATCCCACAAGTGGGGTCTGGAGAGGGCAGTGTATATGCAGACCTTACCCTTACCTTGTGAAAATAGAGAGGTTGTTTCTGGTAGACTCCACTGCCAATCTTGCAAAAGATGAAATTTCTTGGTGACAATACAACCGCACTCTTAAAACCAAACCAATCTTTTTCGACTGTTGTTTTAATGACAGATTGAAGGAAGTAATGTTTTACTTACAACGTAATGGTGCATTAGCCTCGGCCATCAAGTGGTGATTATGAAACTTTCGACTGTATTTTCTGAAGTTACTGATTGTCACTTTGGGATAAGAAGTTCCGGGAGGTAAGGGAACGTCAAAACCATTCTCTTTCTGACAAGCAAAGATATACTTCTAACCTTTCAGTAATTAATGATGAGGAAAGGTAAAAATTATTCAGTTCCGCTTTCTCAAGCAAAAAAAGGCAGGAGTAGAGAATCCGAGTAGATTGTTTTAGAGTCCAAAATGTAGCAGGCCAAGATAAGGGCTATCTGATAGAAACCAAGGAGAAGCCCACAAACTGGACTTCAAAAATTGGGGAGAAATTAAAAAATAGCCAAATTTACAAGTGGTAATTGAAAAATAGCCATAGTTTCAAAAGTAATCAAAATTTAATCACTTTTCATGTAAAGATAAATCTGAACGAAAGCACTGTTCAAAATATAGAAAATATTCCAGCATAATATATTGGAGTTCCAGTATAATATACTGGAACTCCAGCATATTATACTGGAGTTCCAGTATCCAGCATATTATACTGGAGTTTCAGTATAATATATTGCAACTCCAGCATAATATCCTGGATTTCCAGTATAATATACCGGTCCAGCATAATATGCTGGAAGTTCATAAACATGTGCTCTAATCTCCAGTATATTATGCTGGAACTTTCCGTGTGTTGGAGTTCCAGCATAATATGCTGAAAGTTCATACACAGGTGCACCAATCTCCAGTATATTATGCTGGAACTTTCCGTGTGTTGGAGTTCCAGCATAATATGCTGAAAGTTCATACACAGGTGCACCAATCTCCAGTATATTATGCTGGAACTTTCCGTGTGTTGGAGTTCCAGCATAATATGCTGAAAGTTCATACACAGGTGCACCAATCTCCAGTATATTATGCTGGAACTTTCCGTGTGTTGGAGTTCCAGCATAATATGCTGAAAGTTCATACACAGGTGCACCAATCTCCAGTATATTATGCTGGACCGGTCCGTGTTGCAGCAAATAGTGACTATTTTTTAATGACTTTACAAACATTAATTATTTTTTAATTACCAGTCCGAAAACTGGCTAGCACGTGATATTTTTACCAAAAATTGATCTAACATAAAACTCTCCAGACTAATGCAATCTCTTCTCATAACTTTGGTTTTTGATCTAAGACTCTGAATACTAATACACCTTGTCTACGCTTTTGAAACTTTGCATTACAAATGTTTGCACTAACTTATGCGAAAATCTTTGTATTATTACATGCGCGATAAATTATCAATTAAGAGTACGTAAATTACATACAATATACAGTAAAGAGTATCTAAATTCAAAAATAATTTACAATAGGCAATTCATGCAAAACAAGTTCTACATTTTTAGTCGGCACATAACAATTCTTGTATTATTACTCATCGCGTAACAATCATTGTATAATTAATCCATGAACCAAACGGCTTTAGTTGTTGCATTTATTCCGACATACATACTAATAAGGAGTCGTTTGATTGGGAAATAAGTTATCCCAAGATTAATTATTCCAAAATTGTTACGTACCTCACCCTCCTATAGGGATAAAAATAACTCATAATCTTGGAATAACTAATCCTGGATTAGTTATACCGCAATTTTATTCCAACAAAATATAGAATAAACTCATCTAAAATTTAATTTTGAAATTAATTATCCCTTATCGTGGGTACCAAACTAGTTTGTCTGATTGTTTGTTAATTATCACAGATTGTCAAAAAGGCACCTGGAATACGAATAAGGCTGCTTTCACGACTTATGTAGACAACACAAATTTCTAGAATCTAGGAATAGAGGAGTACAAACATTAAGATATGTTTCGTTTAAAAGATTGCGTAAATGAAGGTTATATTGGATATTTTAGTTATTTTTATTCCTATATTACTGATTCTTAAATGATTATTTACATTATATTTTATATAAATAATACATAATTTTTTTTTACATATTATATGCATGTAGTATTATTTACAATGATGGAGCTAAAGTATAATTTATCGAAACAAAAAGCTTTATTTCAAATCTTATTTTAAAAAATATATTAAGTATGTATAAAATATTAATTTAAAATTTATTAACTTAAAAAGTAACTTAAAAATTGAAGGACTAAATCCCGAAATCCTGACACCAACCACCTACGTGTCAGGATTGCTAACACTGAATTTTATGAAAGAGTATTAAAAAGTAATCAAACGATGTATTAGTAATGCTGAATTATATGCAAAGTATTAGCATAGATTATACATAAACCAAACACGGCCTTAATACCCGTCCGTCAATATAGTTCCGTAGTCCCTAAATAGTTGGGGATCCTCTGATTCTGTAGTTTTCGAAATTCTTGAGAATCATTTGGAATTTCAAGATTCTTGAATTTTTGGTTGACAATTTTGCATGGAATTTGGAATTTCTGAAAACCAATTAAGCCATTTGAATCCACCCTTTACAAGAATTCTGGGTTTCAGACGAAGCCCAGATGTGATTTTGAGAATAGAAATGGAAAGATCAATGTCTCTGTTTCAGGTTGTGTGTGTGTATTTTTGCATGCATGTGAATTGTGATCATTTTTTTTTTTAATTAATTTTCTCTTGTTTCTGACTAGTATGGTTTTAATTGTTTGAAGATGATGGTAAATGAAGGTTTAGTGCCTTCTGCAGCGGAGGAAATGAAGAGGAGAAATGCTATTGACAAGCTTAAAAAGGTTCTTTCTTGAGCATAATATTTATTTGGCCTATTTATTTGTCTGTATTTGATATATATTTTGCTCATATGTTTGAATAGAATGTCTGTTTTATGGAAGGCAGCAGGTATTGAGTGCATTTTTTTTTAAATCATAGTTGTAAATTTTCTAAAAGTATATATTTTATATTATAGCGTTAAATCCAAAAACTCCCGACTTGTTTGGAACTGAGATGTAGTATATGTTTATATTATAATATTAAATTCAAAACCTCCCGACTTGTTTGGGACTGAGACGTAGTTGTTGTTGAAGTCCAAACATTGTAGTAAAGAAGTAGTGATGTAGTGGTATTCTGCACCAATAGGCTTAAAATCCTGAATCTGCCTTTGTTGACAAGTTATATTTCTTAAAGGTTATGTAATTGGTCTCAAATTTATGACATAAGGTCCACCTGATCATCTGACTACCTCTCCTAGAATGAAAATAAAGAGGAAAATTAACTTTCTTAACATATCAGCCACAGAAAAAAGAATGAAAGGAAAACAAAAGACTAACAAGAATCACCTGTTACTTGTGAATCTTAGTGTCTTACGTTGTCTTTCAGTCATTTCCAATTATATTAATTTTGTGATTGACTTTAGATTCCATAACGCTACAAAGGCTTTTCTGCCACATTGTTTATACGATATTATCTTGCAGATAGTAGTGGAATGGGTTAAAGAGGTGACTTACCAGCGAGGTCTTCCAAAAAAGTACCTTAAGTTTGCCTCTGGGACAATATTGACATATGGATCGTATGGTTTAGGGGTAAGTCTAATTCCGTAAATTTTCCTTTGATATTTTTGTCTTGTTTCGAAAATGCAGTAGTGCTGATCACAGATATTTATGTTGGATAATAAGTGCTGTTCTGGTTATTTGATTCACATTTTCTTGTTATGAACTGCAGTTTAAATTTGAAAGTCATTTCTAAACTGGTTTTATAGTTTCTACGAGACAATTAAAATCGACTGCCTTAAAGTAATCCTAGTTTTGAGCAGCAATATCAATCCACGCACTGGCGGTGCCACTAAAACTTTATTCTGTTACTCCACAGTGCGATGAATGCGTTGTTCTGTTGCTCCTTTTTAGCACCGCAGCTGACAATTTATTGCAGCATAAGAGCTTATCCGCTTCTTTCTCATTTGCAGCTTCCTCATCTTCTGACACGTTCCACTTTTTGTAGGTTTATAATTCAGACTCAGATATTGATGCTTTGTGTGTTGGTCCTTACTTTGCCACTATAGCTGTGAGTCTTTTATCCTTTTTAGCTTCTTTGAATCTAATATGAGGGTGTGCAATGTCTATCGTGTTACATGTCATGTGTATCTCATTGTGACTTTGTGTAGGAAGACTTTTTCATCGTTCTGCATAACATGCTTGCGAGCAGGCCTGAAGTATCGGAAATCCATTGTGTCAAGTATGCAAAAGTTCCTCTGATGCGATTCAAATTTGATGGGATATCCATTGATCTTCCCTATGCACGACTCAAAGTAATATCCATCCCTGAGGTGAGTTTACAGTTATATTGCTGTTAATTTGCTCACTACAGTTCAAAAAGTCGTAAGTGTCTTCCTCTGCAGATACTATACAATTACTAAATGTTATTGATTTTCTCTTTATATCTAGAATGTGGATGTTTTCAATCCATTCTTTCTGAAGAATATCGATGACACGAGCTGGAAAAGTTTGTCTGGTGTGCGTGCCAATAGGAGCATTCTTCATCTTGTGCCAAACATAGAGGCAAGTAATGGTGTCAGCTTGTCACTCTTTTAGTTTGTAGAGTTGCTTGAAAGTTGAGTTCGTCATATAAACTTGGTCTGTCTAGAGCCGTTGGCTTGGCAGTAGGCATAAGAAAATGATACCTTTTCTTAATTTTNCTTGGATTCTTTGGAGGAGTTCACTTGGCTGTGCTTTCAGCGTTTATCTGCCAAAGGCATCCATCCGCCAGCTTAAGCGCACTCATTTTACTTTTCTTCAAGACATTTGGCTTATGGCCTTGGCCAACTCCTGTAATTTTGCAAGAGACTATAGCTCGGCCATTCATCCCCACTGATAAGGTGTCGTGGATGCCAATCCAGTTACCGTGTAGCCCATACGAATTTTGTCATTCCAACATTACCAGAAGTACATTCTATAAAATCAGGACCGAATTCCTAAGAGGTCATATGCTGACTAAGGTATGTGATAATTTCTAATATCATGTTGTTCTGGTTATTTCTTTAGTTCTTTTCTCCTCTTAATTCTTATATTCAAGATAATCCTTAGTCCTTTTGACTTTTGAGGGAGTTCGGGGACTCCAAAGGTTGTGAGCAACTTTTTTTTTTGGCCCTTCACCACTCGCTATATATAATTACTGCAGGATATGCTGAGGCCAGATTTTGATTGGAATATCCTTTTTGAGCCATTTCCTTATGCAAGAAGATACGGACTCTTCGTCAAAATTTTCCTCTCAGCTTGTGACAAAGATGAGTTAGGAGACTGGGTGGGTTGGATCAAGTCACGCTTTCGCTCTTTACTTGTCAAGGTATGTCTCTGCGGCTGACTTGCTTTCTCTGTTATAGTAATGATATTATCACTATTTTAGCTTAATGCATGGGCATTTTGGCTGCTGCTAGAATTTACTGAACAGAGTATGTCCCATTAAAATCCGATAAGTTATACTGATCAGATTCTGAGACAGATTTGGCCCTGCATAAGACATCCCAATCATGTTTGATCTAATGCTTTATATACTGTTGTGGAGGCTTGAACCGTTATATGCATATCGACTTTGAAGGATAATTTATTTCCGCATTGTTCTTCCATGCTGAAACCGAAAAGTTTTTTTCCCGGCTTTTACTGTCTCCATCGTAAACTAAGATTTGTACTAGATGAGCGTAATAATGAATCTTAAATGGGAAGGCAATTATCACAACGATTTCTTTGTGGTCCTTATATTGTTGCTGCACCACTACTTTTGAGAAGTGGAGCATCCTCAGAATCAAGAGTTTCCAGTTTGTTGTGCTCTTTCTTTGCCTATTCTCCGGACATTGTTTTTTCCTATGCTCGTTATAGTACAAAGTACTGTCTGCACAATATATGGTGGACCATTTCTAAATCATTGTCTAATGCCTAGTTGGAGATAAAAATTAATGACATGCCATAATAGTGAAGCGTGGACGACGACCATGTTAGCGGTGTTAGGTGATAGTCATGAATAGCAATGGTAAAGACATATTCGTATATTGGTGAATGCAAATAGTATATAGGAGGGGTTTTTAGCTAAGAACGACTGGCGCTTTTCTTTATGAGATTATTCTTTATGTTTAGTTGTGTTAAATTGTTGAGATGTTTCGGGGAATTTATAGTCTGTCCTATCAAATGGAGTCCTTGTATTTTTTGTTCTTTCTTGATGAGGCGTTCGTTTCCTGACCCGAGGGTCTATTGGAAACAACTTCTCTATCCTTACAAGGTAGGGGTAAGGCCTGCGTACACACTACCCTCCCTAGACCCCACGGTGTGTTGTTGTTGTCTTGATGAGGCGTTCGTTCTTTCTATCCAGCTGGAGGAGTTACTTGGTTTTTGCGACCCCAACCCGACTGAGTACGTTGACACAGATGCATCAGAGCCTAATGTCATCCTCTATTGGGGATTACCAACTAATAGACGCGATCTAATAGACGCTGATCTTGTGGAGGAATACTTTCTAAAGAGCATTGACAATGGATATCAAGGCTCGACCGGAAAGATGAAGTTATCGATCGTGAAAGCAAATCAGTTGCCTAAAAAAGCTCAGTTTGCTTTCGAACGAAAGAACACTAAGCCGTGTTGGAGGGTTGTCGATGACAATCGCAAAAAAAACAATCCACGGTCCAAGTATAGTAAGCCTCATTGTGCTGACGAATATTTGCCTACAAATGATAGTCCCGAGTACCCTAGCGCCGGGGGATAATAGGCTGCTGCTGTTCTGTTTCTCTATGCTTAACATCTTAACACAGGTTTTGACACTGCATATATTCGTCGTGAAAACAAACTTTGTACATTTGCATTGTGTTACCTTTAATGCTCATTTGACCCTCAACGACCATGTAAATGTTTTTTTTTTGCTACTAACTAACTGAAGAAAAGTTGAATACTGATGTTATGAAATGGTTAAGTCAATAAAAATGATCAAATATGCTGTTTTTTTTTTATATTTTAATTCAGTCAACTGATGCCTGAATTATCATGAGAAGATGCTTTCTGTTTCACCGTTTCCAGTGTGGTGTGTTCAGTGACTCCATTTAACCAAAATATCTGACTGCTGTTGTGGTTTTAAGACTGCAGTTTCTTGAATTTTTAGAGAGTAATGGCTCCTTCCTGGTAGCATACTTCTCATAAGAATTACTCCTCCATCCCAATTTATGTGGCGGTGTTCACATTTCGAGAGACAAATTTCTTAATTTTGATGATGAATCAAGATATAAAATCTTTAAATCTTTTGAAATAAAAGTTAAACATTTGAAAATTACGTAAAAATTACTATAAGTCACAATAATTAAAATTCAAATATTTAAACGGGATATGAAAAAAATCTAGTTTAAAAGTAACTTGTTTGACTCTCGAAATTCAAATACCGCCACATAAATTGGGACGTAGGCACTACTTTTTATTTTTTATTTTTATCCTGATTATTTATTTAAATCTTTTGGTTCCTTCAATATTTGTTTTTTGAAGAATTATCTTTGGTTCCTTCTTTATTTATCTGATCTCTGTTGTGTAAATCTCTTTTCCTATAATCCCAGTAAAATCAGATATATTTTCTAGTAGACATGTTTTGATATATATGTAATATTTATTCTTTTCTATGCTGAAAATGGAAGTAGCGTATAAAAAGAATTAAATTGAACGACAAAAAGAACCATTGGTGAGATCGCTAGGATTTATTCTCTTTTAACTAAAGGTCTTGATTTCGAGCTCGACCTTAGATTTTGAGCTGTGAGAATGAGTTCAAGATCTTAACTTCGAGCTCGATCTTTGATTTCGAGTTCTGAGAATGACGACGACAAATGTTTCTAACTAAAATCTAGAAATCATTCCATGAAAATAAAGGGGCTATTAGTATATGTCTAAGTCTATGGTAGAGACTACATAAGGAACCTTTAAAAGGGATATACTTATTTATGCCAAGGAAAGCAAATGGACACCACTTTGAAAAAGATGCCATTTTTATCTTTGGATTATTAATTATTAATTAGTCGTTTAGATGATGATAATCTTTGATTTGAATGTAAACAAATTTCCCACTAGCTAAGATATTTTCTCGAGGATAAGCAATAATAAATAACAAAGGCACTGTTACAAGATAAGTACAGGAAATCGTTCATCAAAGTTTGGAATTAATAACTTAAAAATAAGATAGAATTTTTCTACAAAATTTAAAATAATACTGATAGTGTAAACTTTTTTATCATTATCAGTGTAACGACAACAATAACAACAACAACAACAACAACAAACTCAATGAATTCCCACAAATGTGATTTAGCGAGGGTAGTGTGTACACAGACATTACCCATAACCATGGAGGATAGAGAGCCATTATCATTATCGGTGTATATAAGTTAAATCCATTATTAATTGTGAACAGGGGCTGATCCAATTCAATAGTTACGTGTTCCCGTGAACCCATTAATTTTTTGTTTAGACGTTGTATTTATATTGAAAATCTATTAAACATATAAGAATATTTAGCTCGGAATCCAGTCCGTTAATCCAATTATTATTGTATATTAACTTAAGATTTCTGTAGTAACCCATAAACTTAGCTAGCGTTAGGACATAGATTTGATTGAAATTTGAAAAAAGGAGTTTTTGAAATTGTGTTGAAAAATAAATTTTAAAAGTTGAAGTTGTGTTTGGACATACATTTTATTTGAAGAAAAGTTAAAGTTTTGTGAGTGAAAGAAAAACTTAAAATTTTTTGAAAATTTTCCCCCAAAACATGACCATATTTCATAAACAAATAATATTTTTAATTTTTTTTAAAAAAATAATGACAAAATATATGACCAAATGGGAGGTTAAAATCTTTTTCTTATCTAGGTCAATTTGTTTACAATCACGATAATTAAAGCAATCTTAAAAGTTAAATTATCATTATTAATCGTGAATAAATTAATGAATCCTACGACAACATCAATCAACTCTTGTTAATTTTATTTATTTATTTATTTATTTTCATATGACTCTTCTTAGTGTCGTCAATTACATCAAATCAAAATATCTACAATCTTTATATGTTAAATATGTCTTGCCATTTTCAAACATCATCGATATCGTACCATTTTTTAATTTAATTAATTCTATTGGTTGAGTGAGCGTTAGCTTTCAATTGAGTAGTCAAATTGGTGGAGCCAGTGAAAAACAAAAAATTAGAGATAACAAATAAAGAGAAACATACCCTCTTTTGTTTTTTCTTTTGTAAGTTTGTTCTGCCCGTACAAATTTATAGAATAATAGTAGGTACCTTAAAAATTTTGAATGGGCAGAATTTTTTTTATTTTTTATTTTTGGAAATTCTCAAAAAAATCCGCAGCTGCTATCCTCCGCGTGCATACTGGGTAACCTGTTTATTATGCAATAACTCATAAACCACAAGAAATATAAATCGTACTAGGCAAGCCCGGTTTGACGAGCTCTGACTAAAGAGGCCGCTGGTGAGGATGGGCATTTTTTTTTTTTGGAAAATTCCAGGGAAATCCGCAGCCGCTACCCTTCGGATGAATACTGGGTAATCTATTCATTGTGCAATAGTTTGTAAACCACACAGGAGATGTAAACCGTGCACTAGGTAACCTGTTCATTGTGCATAACTCACAAACCATACATGAGATGTAAACTGACTATGCAAGTCTTGTTTGACGAGCTCTGACTGAGAAGGATGCTGATGAGGGGAATCGATCACCAGTCTTTCATGTGAAAAACCACTCACCCAACCAGGGGTATACATGGACTGAGTTGGTTCGGTTTTTATCAAAACCAAACCAAACACTACTAAAAAATCAGGTTTTAGCGACGGACAAATTCTGTAGCTAAACAGAAAAATCTGTCGCTAATCTCATTTAGCGACGGATTAGCAACGAATTATCAAAAAATTATGCTAACTACGAGCATTTTAGCGACAGATTAGCGACGACCTTCGTAGCTAATTTCAGTTTTTTTTTTGTAGTGAAACCAACTATATCGGTTTGGATTGGTTCGCTTTTGTAGGGGTTTTCGGGTTTTCGGGTTTTTTTGTTACTTAAATATTATTTCAATCTTACTTCGTTAAATATTTGATAAGTAAATATATATTTAGTAAAAATATAAAACATTGACAAACATATTATCGATTAAAATATTCTTATGGGAGAATTCTATTAGTAACACATAATAGTTATTTTTTTAGTCGTCTGACAATAATTTTTCGTTAATGTACACTTTCAGGTTAACCGGTAATTAAACATAAAAATCAATATGATACATAAATATTAATAATCACTTCACATTCGAAAAAGATATAAGAATTTAATAGATCTTAACATATGATATGAATATGGAAGAACAAAGAGATAGACGCATTTCAGTAACACTTGATAAGAAAGTGATCATACAACCCATTATTTAAGGTCAATAAATATGGAGCACTTCATATTATATTAAAATTTATATCCGGCAAGAGAATCCCAAATATTTCTAAATATTTTTTAAAGAAAATTATATATAAAATCTTAAAAGTATATATAAAAATTATGTATTTATATGTCGGGTTGGTTCGGGTTTTTTACTCAATACCAAACCAAATCAAACCAAACCAAGTCGAATTTTTTAATCGGTTTGGTTTGACTTTTCGGTATAGTACTGTTTTTCGGTTTGGTTTGTACACCCCTACCCAACCAACATGGGCAGAATTCATTAGATACGTTTCAAAATTATAATAAATCTTTTTCTTTTTTCGTCTATTGAGGATATTCAGAATAGTGGAAAATGAAAGTAAAATATATGAGGGAAGAATATTTGGTGGCAAAAGAAAAAGAGATGGTTTGTTAATGCTATGATTAGGAATATAATTAAAACAATTAATTGACGGTTCAAAAACTTTTGCTAGTTGGCACGACAAGTAGCTAACATCGCAATTTGGAAATCACCTACTGCTACTTGGCCAGCTACGAAATAATTATACAAAGAAAGTCTAAAGAAACTTTCGGAAAGGAGGAAAAATCAGTCAGTTTTCAATTTCTAGCGCTTTCTTTTTTTAGTTTCTCCTCCGATGATCGGTAATATTCTATTTTGGGATCCAAATAATTTGGATTCACATACGAAATTTTTCACTTTGGAAACAAAAAGCTCTCTATAAAAAGCGATTGTATAAATTAGAGACCTTTAATTAAGAATGAAAAAGTACTTATCGTTTTATCACAACGCTTTCACCTACCAAACAATTGTCACTTTCCGTGGCAATTTGACAAAGATTATGTACACTTTCAGTTTTTATATTATTAAAATGATTTAACTTAATACACTAAAGATTTCTTCACTAACAGTAGTGTAATTTTTAACTTGTTATGTTGTTAATTTGATTTTTCAAATTACTCATTACACTTGTTGTGATATCAGTTATTTATATGCTAATGCTGGATAAATTTTACAAATGACCATATAACTATGACTTTTTTTTACAAAGACATATAAAGGCGCACACACATATAGCAGTCACCGGCATCTGGAAATTTCGTCAAAAACTTCATGTATATTTGTAAATGTCTTCAAGAAATAGTCAGATGTTAGCATAGACCCTCGTACCAATGTTTATGAGCAGTAATAAATTTATTTTGAATGTCATGGTGCTCCACGACCGCGAAATCATGGATCCGCCTCTGCCGGTATTTACGATCTACTCTCGCTTATTCAATTCGTGTCGGATAGATAGTATATCCACCGAGAGATGAAACACTCTCTATCAAGAAATTTTTCATTTTGAATGCTTGAATTTCCGTGCAAATTTAGTTACGAACAAGTGGGGTGTTGCTCATATGGTCAACATCCCCACTTACAACCTCAAAGTCGTGGATTTGAGTCACCAAATATGCATAAAAATAATAATAATAGTACGCAGTTTAAAATTTTTGAATGGGCGGAATTCGTTAGACACGTTTTGAAAATACTTTTTTCC